CAAAGAACCAGGGAACTACATATTAATACAAATAAGACCAAAGGCTGAAACTCTGGTACTGGAAGTGCACCTTAACCAAAAAAGACAAGGACATGCTCTTGTGTTCATGGATTTCTTGCTTCATTTCAGACACAGACCAAATCAGTAAACTTTTTAATTTTACTCAGCTAATAACTCTTTGCAAGCATTGGGAAGGGCTCAGTTCAGACTTAATTCCCGTGGAGACTCCCTACTATCAACAGTATTAAATTACTCTGCCAACCTCAAGACTAACCACACTCATGACCATCTACATTACAAATGAACTAACTACTCTGCCTGGTACAGAAATACTCAAGTTACTGAATGAAACCGCAGAGAATGAAAAAACCCACACTTTCTTACAGCTTTTACATAGCACCAAATTTATCAAAGACACTCCAATGTTATATTCTTAAAGAAGGGCTAAAAAGAGAAGAGCATATCTGTGACGAAAGGATGTTTGTCCCACAAAAGTGGATTCCAATACCCCTTTAGTCAGAAATTCCAGACCAGATTGTACCTCAGTTGTTTGGGTTTTTTCAAACTTCGCAGGAAAACATTTTACCAGCAGACTGTTCCTTTTGTAGATTAATGTAATTGGTGCTTCAATCCTTCCCAGTCAGCCTACTATCACACTTTCTGCAAATTTCTCACTGCTGCCCTTGACACTCTCCCCAGCTTACCCACTTCCTTCTACAAGGATCAGGAACTGCCTCCCCCCAGCCAGTCTCCCAGCTAATGCCTGAGAAGGCCTGAACTGAGGGCAAATATTGCTTCACATGTCTTACTGAGAAGCATAAGAACTAAAACCTGAGTGATATTCCCTTCACAGATTCAGCTTATTATTCTTTTCCTCCAAGAAACTGTTCACTATCATGTATTTCTGTAGCTGATTGCTCCTGCTTAAGCACAAACACAAAACTCCGCTCATTTGCACCCATTCCCTTCTCAAGTTTCTGAATCTTTAAGGCATTTTGATTTCCATTACCACACTCAAAAAGACTTGAAAATTTCTCCTAGTTTTGTGCCACCTTAAGTTTTAATCATCACACTATTTCATTAGGAAAACTGCGAAAACCATGAAGAGCAGTTGACAAGGGACTGGCCTTCTTAGTCACAACAGTAGCTCTTCCCAGCTTTCCTTCCCAAGCAAAAACATCCTAAGGAACAGAATCAAAAGTCCTATTAAGCCAAATGTTGGCTTAATCAACTGATCCTCTCACTGACAGTAGGTCTATCAGTCATTGCTGAAATAAATTAGATAATTTCAATAATTGACAAACTGATGCTGACTTTCACTCAGCTATTACATTCTAGATGCTTACAAATAGCTTTTGTGACAGATTTTTTTTCAGGAATTCAAAAAGCAGCAGAGGAGTCTGCCAATCTATAGCTCTCTCTGTCCTTCAAATATTAGTAATAAGGACAGCCACCATGCTTCTGGTTTGCTTATCTTTGGTACTTCAGCAATTTCTAGACTACTACAGACTTTTTTTCTTGAAGTATTGTCAAGCAGAGCTCAAATAGATCTGGAAAAGTTACATTTCTAGACATCCTGGATATTTCAGTTGAAACACCTGAAAAAAACAAGCAGCCTTACTCTGTTTTTTAAACACCATAACTGCATCTGAAAAAAATCTGTTCCCATGAAAGTTGCCAAACTATGAAAGAGATATCAGAGACAGCAATAAACAAAACTGAGAGCCTCAGCACACAGAAACAAGCATCTGTGCAACAGCATCTGTCACCTCAAGCTGAATTCACAACTTAGCCGCAAGTATAAAGTGAAAGCTGCCATCTCCAGCAATATATCAATGACCAGCTCAGAGATGACCTTTTGCCTTTCTGTCAGGGAATAATCTACTAGATCTTATTGAATTTCTACCAGCACATTTCACTTGGCAAAAGAAAAGCAGGATGCCCAACACCTGTGTTTGGAAGCCTGCCCTACTCTGCAAAATGATGCTGTTAAGAACTGTAAAGAAAGACTTCACTTTACAGACATGATTAAACCTTTGGGACTGATAGAACTGCCCCACACTAAGAGCCCCTGACACTTCCATCTTTAAACAACAAAGTGGGCTAATTTCAGGACTTCACATTTCAGGACTCAAAATAAAAATAATCTCTTCAGCCATTTTCATATCCAAGTCTACTTAGAGTGCTATGGGGATTTCTTTTTTGTTTGGTTTCAGGTTTGGGGGAGGTTGGGTTTGTAGTTTTTTGAGGGTTTTTTGTTTATTTCATTGTTACACATTGGCCCTTGCAGCTTGGGGAAATAGTAAGTATTTATTTATAAGCAGACAACAGTCAAAGAGCTGCTTTATCTCAGCACAGTGAGAAAACTGTCTAAAGAAAGAAAACTGCCGAAGAAAACTGACCAAAGAACTCGTCTGCTTGCATTATTTCAGAGAAACAACCTCTAAGATTAATCAAGAATGCAATTTGCATGGTTTTGTTCTTCCAAGAAACTCTAGTCAGTCTGTGTACTGACCGGTATTTTATTAGTACCTGTCAGTTTAACTAGCTTGTAATGAAGCAAAAATTTAAACTGACTAAACAGTTAATTGACAGTGTATCAACATTTAGGGAAAAAAGTTTTCTATCCTCTGACAAGAAAAAAAATAATAAAATGCTGTGCTGATACCACTCAAAATAGTGCTAATCTCTGGTATGGTGGGAGACCAGATTCTCCACAGAAGCACTAAATAAAAGACAAATTCTTGACCAAAGAACATTAAGATTTTTGTGTTCAAATGCAAGCAGGGATCATCAGCATAAAACCATGGGAAGCTTATTTACTTTACATAGCACTGCCCTGCCCTCTACTAAAGGATCACTAAGGTTGGAAAAGACCTCCAAGATCATCTAGTCCAACCTTTAATATATTAAGTACCACAGAGACTGATGCTTTTAAAGGGTTTAGGGAAGTACTCTGCAAATAACACACTGAAGAAAATAACTTGCTTATCAGAGGAACTAAAATAGAATCAGACACAAACGCTGTGCAGATGCAATCAGAATCTAAAAAAAGAATAGAAATCGCTACCTGGGCTACCACGCTAATGCACTCATACAAAGCAGGTGCCAGTAAGGCAGTCACATGACTACTGCTCCAACGCTGCAGTCAGGCAAACAGACAGTCTGGTAACTCCGAGGTTGTAAAAAATAATTGCATTTTATTCCTTTCAGCAAAACCATCTTTCGATTTCCCAGACATTAACGGAGAAAAGTGACGTGATTCACACAGAAAAAAGAGGCTGCAGGAAACGTGAAATAAATACAGCTGCCTTTTTTTTTTTTTTTTACTAAAACCCCACCTCTTTTTCATTTGGTTATCTGCTTTAATAACCTTTGAACAACTGTTCCGTGACTTCAGCTAAAACTGGAAACGGCTAAAAAAATAATTTTTTTAAGATTATATTAACGTCAATTTGAGACACATCATCCTCTGTATCCGACTTAATAGCTGTGTACTATTCGCCACGGGTTGTACCACCATCCCCAATTTTACCGGCACGTCTCTCCATCGTTACGCAGTAAACAAAAGACAGTATTTGCAAGCAGCCCTAAGAGCGGGCGTTTAGGATTAGTCTTCCATCCCCATCAATTTCAAAACAAGTAGTTTCGGAAGCGCTGCACTGCCGAAAGACAGGCTGGTATAAAGGCTGCGGGATTTAAACACGCGTGGTTGGGGACGGGACCAGCGAATATGGGCAGCTCCAGGTCTTCCCAGAGAACACCTTTCGAGGGGAGATGCGCGATCCCCGCGCTCCACGCCAGGCCATCCCTGCCAGGGCCGGGTGTGCACAGGCCTGTGCGGCACAGACCGGGCTCACACGCGGCACCGGCACGGACGTGTCCGGGGCTCCCGAGGGAGGGAAGCACTCGGGGCAAGAACGAACACCGACCCCCCCGCTGCTCCCAGCAGTGCCCCGCTCCCACCCTTCCCTCGCCACAGGGACGTGCCCTGGCTCTCCCCGCGCCCCACCTGGGGCCGTGGCTCGTCCCTCTGCCGTGACTCGGCACTGCGGCCCCGCTCCGCCCGGCCCCGCGTCCCGCCCGCCGCCACCTCACCGCGGCCGAGCCCGTGCTCAGCACCGCGCCCCCCGCGGGGCTCCGCTGCCCTCCATCGCGGCTGGCACCGGGCTCAGGGCGTCGCGCAGGCACCTCCGGCCGCTCCCGGCTCCTGCCGCGTCCGGGCCGCCGCCATTCGCTGCTCGGCCCCGCCCCGGGGCGGGCACGGGGGGGGCTGAGGAACTACAGCTCCCGGCGGCCTCCGCGGCCGCTCCCCCCTCCTCCCGCGGCTTCCGGCCGGCCCGGGGATGGCGCGGTGCTAAAAGGCGCGGGGTGCGCGGCGGCGCGCGCGGGCCTGTTAGAGCCATGTACAGGTACCGGGATACGGGCATATAGGGATACCGGGATATGGAGACACGGGGACAGGGGTCTCGCTGGTGGGCTGCGCGTGAGCCCTCGCGGAGGGAGGGCGTGGGTCCCCCCCGCTGCTTAGGGGTGGCGGGCTGTGCGGGGGGACCCCGGGCGCTGGGAGCGGGAATGGGACCCCAGGGGAGCGGGAGTGGGTCCCGGGAGAGCAGGAGTGGATTCCTGAGCGCGGACGCGGTGCGGGGCCACACGTGTGTGTGCGCGCCCCCGGGGTGCGGGACGTGCGCGGGATCCCCGGGCCGCTTCTCTCCCGCCCTCAGCGGGCGGCAGTCGGGATCGAACGCCCGCCGTTCCCCCCGTCCATCCCGCCCCGCTGCCCGTGCGGGGGTCCCGGCCTGACCGGGTTTTGGGGGCTGTGAGGCCGCCGCGGGGGTCGAGCCGTACCCGCCGCCTCCGTCAGTCCCCTCGCCCGCCCCATCGGGGAGCGAGGCGCCCTCAGTCCCTGGCGGGATCTCACCCCGAACGTGCCAGACCGAGCACACGCCTGCTTATGGCCGTTGCTGGTGCTTCCAGCGCCCACAGATCCCCCGTTTTGATCGCCCCGCGTGTGGATGTGGGTTACATGTGAGTTTGAAATGCTGCCGTGCGGCCGTCCCCGTCGTGTGTTCGGTCGGTCTGGCGGTACCCTCAGAGCCTGTGGGTTTTGCTCTGTCTACAGGAAACACCTCCAGGAGATCCCATCCTCCAGCACTAATGTTTCCACCAGCTTGGACTGGGACTCCAGCAAGACCTCGGAGTTCCTGTCGAGCATGGGAGTGTCCGTCCTTAAGAAAGACAAGCTGGGCAACGAAAACATGCCGCAAGACCTGCTGGTGTCATCAGGCTGTTCTGCTCCAAAACGGCAGAAGGGGTTTGTTATTGTGCGCCGACCGTGGCTGCTCCGAGAGGCAGAGCCAGGTACGATCACCCTGGTCCAGGTTCTGCTCACGCTTCAGTAGAGGTGGAGGGTGGGCATCACAAGTTGCCACTGCCTTATTGTTTACTTTTTTTGCTCTTACCCAGCAGAATGTCACTTTCAGATCTGGTGGCTTTCAGGCCTGGGTTGATAAACCCTGTTTTATGTAAGCCTTTAAACAAGGGTGGTGTATCTGGCTCCAGAACTGTGGCCAATGAAAAGCATGGATCTCTCCTGCCTAGTCCTGACAGCTCCTGTCTGTGTGCTGGGGATTTGTGCTGCATGTCCCTGTGTCTATCTGCTCTTTCTGTGTGGGACATGGGTGGCACCTTGGCCCAGCAGGGCCTGTTGCAAATGAATGTTTTAAGGTTGCTTGAAGAATCACTGGCAAAGGTATCAGCAAAAGCAGATTTAATATAAAAGTGAAAGCACAATGAAGTTCATTGGCATTGTTCACTCTACTAGATGGTTAAAGCACACAGAGAAAAAGCAGTAAGATCTAAAATCAATCACTCAAAAACCAAAGTCAGCCCAAAAAATAGCTATGTTGAGGCACAAGATTGAGTAGACCCCCTGGCTAAACTTGAGCCCCGGAACTGACCAAGAGTTTAGGCCTAAAAGTTTAACAGTACTTAACAGCACTTAATTGATAGCTTCAGTTAATTTAACAAAGGATTCATACAGAATTTACAGTAGGCACAGCAGTAACTCACTTATAGGTGTAACTTACAGATCTAAAGTATTTGAGAATCTAAGAGAGCAAGATTCGTAGTACATTTGCTTTAGCTTGTTCACTCTCAGAGGCACACAGACCTGAAAGAGTATATACAAGGTATATACTGTATATATAGGTATATACTGTATATACAAGGTATACAAGGTATATACAGTATCCACCTGTGAAAAATTCCCCTTGAGTTCAGTGAAGGACTCATGTCAGATGCCTTTGTATCTTCTCAATGGGCAAAGAGTTGAGCCTCAAATACTGCATGTATCAGCCCAGGATCTGTCATTATCGTTTAGTGGTCCTCCAAGTATAGCAAATTTGAGAGTTTGCTGGCTCTGAGAGGCCCCCCCTCAGAGGGAGATGCTGGTCACAGCCTGCTGTGGTCCAGGAGACCTCAAAAGGAACAGGAGCACAAGTGGTGTTCCTGCGGTAGCAGGGATGAATGAGAGGAGTAGAAAAACCCATCTTATTGATAAAGGATTGGTGCCGCCAGCAGAATTTTGGTTTTATTCGACCATGGGGCAAATTCTATGTACCTAGTCTGCCAGAGTCAGATGGGCTTCTATCTAGCAAGGGCAGAAGGACTCTAGCCCATAAGTTGTCGGGTACTGATGGGGAGGCACGGACAGACTGCTCTTAGACCAATGTGATCAGGCAATATGTCAGTTTATTATTTAAATCAGTTAACTTTTATACAGTTTAGTTTGTTCAGGGTACATGCTCACAACAAGGTGCCTGGATAGCTCAGTCTGTGCACGCATCTCATGTCTCCAGTTCATTGGACCTGATGTCCTGTCCACGCGATCTGAAATCATCCTTGGCATAGAAACCTCTTTCTAATCAAACTGCTTTTAGGGTTTTACTAAATTTGCAGGTGTTTCATTATCTTCAGTTTCTCAAGGTTTTCTTTCTATAAACATATTATGTTCTCAAACCTTGTAATCAGACACACAGCTAACAAGTATAAGCATCACATATTTTCACACAGTCTATAAGTATAAACAATACACGCTTGTCACTTCCATGGCAAGCAAGGCCTACAGAGTGCAGGAAAAATTGTTCACAGAAACCTCTCTGTCCCGGCGACAGTCGGGGTGATCAGGAGGGCTTTAAACTAGGTTTGAAGGGGGAAAGGGTTGAAACCAGGCTCTCCAGAGATGAGCCTAAGTGTGGAAAGTCAGAGTTAGAAGTGAAATCAGCAGCTCAGCTGAAATACATGTACACCAATGCACTCAGCATGGGTAACAAACAAGAGGAGCTGGAAGCCATCGTGCAGCAGGAAAGCTGTGATGTAGTCGCCGTCACGGAAATGTGGTGGGATGACTCGCATGCTGCCATGGGTGCCTACAAGCCCTTCAGAAGGGACAGGCAGGGTAGGAGAGGTGGAGGGGTGGCTCTATATGTTAGAGAGTCTCTTGACTGTAGAACTTGAAGTCAGTAACAATAAGGTTGAGTGTCTGTGGATCAGAATCAAAGGGAAGGCCAACCAGCCTGACATCTTGGTGGGAGTCTGTTACAGACCACCCAACCAGGATGATAAGGGTGATGAATTATTCTACAAGCAGCTGGCAGATGTCTCAAAATAGTGAGCCCTTGTTCTCCTAGGTGATTTTAACCTGCCGGATGTCTACTGGGA